GCATATATAATTCTGGTCCTCTCTAGATGATAAATAAAAGTTTTTGTTAAATATAATTCTTTTATGTTTTCTTTTTTTTAATAACTTCACATAAAAAAAACTAAACGTTACTATAAACAATTTTGTTTTCTGTTTGATAAAATAGTTAGCTTAATAGAGATTAAGTTTTTGTAGTTTGTATTTTTTTTCATTAGTAAATAGTGCTTTTAGTTTTTATTATTAGTAAATAGCGCTTACATCTAACATAATTGTCATTCAAACTTTTTTAAATAATCTTCAAAGTGGCTTTTTATAAAATTAATTACTTCCTTTATCTTATCGCTTAATAGAGTATTTTAAAAGTTAAAAAAATATAAAAAGTTGCTTCATGTAAATCCCTCTACGCGTACGTAATTCGTTTGTAAATTGCCGTCAGCTTAACGCTTTAAAACAAGGCTTGTTATTTTTATACTAATGTGTTTAAAATCAAAAATATTTTTTCTTCTATTTTTAATAAAAAAGAAAAGAAAAATTAAAGGAAAAAATACTTTATATGCGCTTTTATTTGGGCGTCCATACCGCTCCAGCAGCACTAAAACAATTCTGGGTTCATCCCTGTAGAAATACAGTGACAATCGGCAATAAAACATTACTTTTAAAAACTTTATTTTTAACTTTGCTTGACTCTTAAAAATTTAGTCCTTTAGTTTCTAAATAACGGTTGATTTTACTTGACAGGCAAAGTGCCAATTATAATTATTTCTCATATTTAACAATGTAATACTTAGGTTAACTTGATTTAGTGTGACTTATTATATTCTAGGACCTGTAAAAATATTTTAAAACACCGATCATTTTCATACTTATTCCTTATTTATTTCAATGTTTTTTAGTGAACAGTAGAAAAACAATTCTTTAAAAAAATATTGCTTTAAAAACAAATTGAAATTGACATACGCACCTTTTCCGCATTTATGAAACTTATAAGAGATTAATGAAATAGTTTCAATTTTCAATAGCTCAATGGTTTAATGTGCTGTCATCGGTGATGTTTTTGCAAGGGTTCCCCTCTCTATATATATATATATATATATATATATATATATAGAGGGGGATATATATATATATATATAGAGGAATATATATATATATATTCCCCCTCTATATATATATATATATATATATATATATATATATATATATATATATATATATATATATATATATATATATATATATATATATATATATATATATATATATATATATATATATATATATATATATATATATATATATATATATAAATTGTTAAAATATAGTTTGTAAGTTTTTGGTAGCTATGTAGTTTTTTCTAATTTTAATTTTTTTAATTTTTTTTTTTGCTTCACAGCAGCATTTTCTGGAGTAGCAGGACAAGATTATTAATTTTTTTCTTTATTAAGTTTCCATAATCTTTTTAACCATAATCTTTTTCAGACCACTTGCAGACTATTTATTACCTCAGCACATTTTATAAAATTAGTATCTATATAGAGTTATGAAAATATCTCAATATTTTCTAACGGCAATCATCAGCCATATATTACAAAATATAAAATAGACGTTAAAATTACAATTAAAATTACGGTGGCGTGAGTTCTAATTACTCCATGGAAACAAAATTAAATGTTTTAAGAGTATCAGGTGGCGAAAATGTGACCAAAAAGTTTTTCCTTTTTTCGTTTTTAATTATAAAGCGCTCTATTAGGAAATTTATATATAATCAAAATAAATTTCTTAATTATTGAGCACTTTTTAACGAACAAGAGTTGTGTATTATTTTAATACAACACTACATAAAAAGATATATATATATATATATATATATATATATATATATATATATATATATATATATATATATATATATATATACATACTTATCTAATTTTTATTTTCTTCTACAGCTTATTTCTCCATCAGTAGGATCATCAGGAAGCTTCCTGATGATCCTACTGATGGAGGCTTTCATCTATTTTTAGTTTTTATCATGTTTTATTTTTTTATTTTTTTGTATCAAACAAATAAAAATATAAATTTTATTAAAAATTTTTTTATTTTGTATTTAATTTAGATAAAAAAAGTTGCAGTCAAAGAATCACTTACTTTTCTAGTAAAATGTAAACTTCATATCTTTGTTTCATCAGTACTTCAATGTTCTGATAATCAAACTGTTGTTGATGATAAAAATATATTCTTGTCATTGTTTATTATAAAAGAAGTTCTTAAACTTCAAAATTTAAAAGAAACCAGTCATACTAAAGAATTGCTGGAGCACTCTGTAATTGAAAATCTTATGCAGATTATCAACAAATGGAACAGACCAAAACTTATTAATGTTGCTGCGATTGATATTTTATTTTGTTTTTGTATGGAGCATAGAGAAGCATGCGAGCGAATAATGGATATTGAAGGTCATGAAAGCTTGGCATTGTTTATTTTAAAAGATTGGTCAGAAAAAAGTTTTATTAACAAGGGAAAGTTTGAGGATTTCACTAAGGTAAGATAATCCAGGCAAAGTACAGGAGTGGAAGTAAATTCTTAAAAATATGTATATTTTTACTAAGTTACCTTTACACTTAAATTTAATATTAATTAAGTTTACACTTAAAGCTTAACATCTCAGTGACTTTTTAAACATTTTTAATTGTTTATAATATTAATCCTTCAGAATAAGGAAAAATAAGGTTGACAATTTATTGCTGACATCATTGCTGAAATTGAATAATTGCCTATTGACTATTGTTGAAAATTGCCTATTGCCAAAATTGAATATTAAACTGTTAGAGGTCAGTATCAGGTCGACAAACTTTAGAATAGTGTTGAATATATTAAAAAAGGTCTAATGTCACAAATAAAAGGAATATGATTGTAAATGAATTTAATGAATAGTGTTGAAAAAAAGGAATAGTGTCGCAAATAATGAAAACAAAATAGTTTCACAAATAGTTAATTTCAACAATTGCTTACTTGTTTTGCTTATCTTTACAGCATACAGCTTTTACAGAAAAAAAAAAAAGAAAAAAAAAAAAAAGTAACTAAAGAAAAGATTGCTACCAAACCCCAAACCCTCAATGTAGCTGCACTCCTTTGTGGCAACAGGCTATAAGATCGATGGTGTATGTACTGAAGCCCCGGCAGTAGGCTTTTCAGTATGACATCAGACATGTTATCTAAACACACATTTATAGTTATTATTATTTATTTATTTTTGCTACTATTCATTAAACTCCTTTAGGACATTATTCCTTTTTTCTATTTTCAACACTATTTATTAAATTCATTTCAACACATATTCCTTTTGTTATTGTTTTCATAACTGTTCATTAAATTTATTTGCAACACTATTCCTTGTTTTATTTTTGATACTGTTCATTAAATTCATTTGGGATATTATTCCTTATTCTGTTATGCAACAATCAATAATGTGACAATTTGCAATACTATTCCTTATTTACATTTTCAACAATTAAATTTGTGACACTATTCCTTTTTTACACTTTCCGCAATCAAATTTGCGACAAAAATTTGTGACAACTAAAATTTTGCAACACTATTCCGCCACACCTCCTCAAACACATTTAGCTCGGCATTGTTGAATGCTAATCCTAATTCCGAGGGCTGAATAATGTAATAATGAAGTAATATTCTAGTATTTATTTTCTATACATGTTGTTATTTTTTTACTTCAAGATTTCTTTACTTTTTATACTAAAAATATTATATTAAAATTCTTAGTTCGGCAACAAAGATATGGTGTACAAAGTTTTTCAAGTTGAAGGTTGGTCTTCAATAGAAGATACCCATTGGAAACTACCTAATGACATAGATTATGGAATTGCGTTTCCCCTACTTATTTCTGGCTTTTATGCAAAAGTTTTTGCATTAAAGATATTTACTCAGGTGTTTGTTTTTATTCATTTTGTTGTTAATTTTTATTCGTTCACTTAGGTGCTTGTTTTCACTCATTTATTTAGGTGTTTGCTTTCACTTATTTACTCAGATATTTGTTTTCACTTATTTACTCAGATATTTGTTTTCACTTACTTACTCAGATGTTTGTTTTCACTTATTTACTCAGATATTTGTTTTCACTTATTTACTCAGATATTTGTTTTCACTTACTTACTCAGATGTTTGTTTTCACTTATTTATTCAGATATTTGTTTTCACTTACTTACTCAGATGTTTGTTTTCACTTATTTATTCAGATATTTGTTTTCACTTATTTACTCAGATATTTGTTTTCACTTATTTACTCAAATGATTGTTTTCACTTATTTACTTAGTTATTTGTTTTCACTCATTTGCTGTTTTTGATTTTTAATAGTTTGTTTTTTAATTTTAAAAGTTAACATAAAACAAGGAAGAGAGCCGAAGAGAAAAAAAGCAGTTGACAAAATTTGATTGCTGTTAATATATCAATGGCTTTCAATAATGTCTGTCTGGTCATCTTTATAAGCTAAATTTATATGGTGTATCTATGAATATATATTTTTTCCCTGGTCCTGTTGTTAGGTTTAGGAATATTTAGATTGTTAGAAAGGCCATTAATAAACACAAGGAATAGCAAATCCACAGAAATTACATGAAATAAAAAAGAGTCTTGCCCATTAAGGACAACACTCTTTTTTATATTGTAGATGAAGACAAGTGTTATCAAGGGCAGCACTTGTCTTAGATACTGCACACTGGTAGATACTACACACTGATAGATACTACACTTGTCCAGTTTATTTTATAGATTTTATAGATGCATGTTATATATCAGTAATTTTTCACAGGCAATTTTAAACCTTCAAAATATCTTTAATTTAAATTTATTGGTTAGTAGCTAAGATGATTTAGTCCTATATATAGCAAATATCTCTAAAAATATATTACTTGTCACTTTATGTCCAGCAAATATCTCCAGAAGTATATTAATTGTCAATTTATTATAGTGCTAGTGCTAATATTTGTTTGCTTGACTTCTTTCTATTTCTGTGTTGCAGCACTATAATATGTGGATTTGATATATTCCCTTTTAACTATGTTGTACATAATATATGTACTAAGATCGATATGATACATTCTTTTGTATGTTGTACATTGTTGTGCTTTTAAACATAAAAATTAAAAGATTATAAATGGCCTCACAGATTAAATGATATTTTAATTATTATGAAGTTTATCAAATCATAATCATAATGAAAGTCATAAGTTCTTCTGAAAATCAAATCAAAAACAAAAATCTAAAATTATTAACTTGCCTTAGTTTTGTGGTGGCTTCTTTTGTTTTAAATAAAAAACACTTTACTTGTAGTTAAAGAGTCAAAGTAAGTGTGACAGTGGACAAGCATGTTTATTAAGAACTAGAGTACATTTCGGGCAGATTCTAGAGACAAAGGCTCAATAATGTAAGTTGTCAAATTTTTACTAGGACTAAAAGACAGCTTGATAAATGATTGATGATAATGATGAGTTTATCTATTAACTTTTAGTAAAATCTTAGAAAATTAAAAAACAAAACAAAAAATCATGGTAACAAAAAATTTATTTAAGTTATAAATTTTAACTTATGTTTAAGAAAGATTAACTTCAAAGGTTCACTTGAAACATTTCAAAGGTTCATTTAAAAAAGGTGTACAAATGTATGTACTGTTCATGAAAATAAAATGTTATAATGTAATAATAGTTACTATTATATCATGTATAAAAATTATTAATAATTTTAGAATACATAAATTTTTAATAACTTGTTTTAGATTGCTAACATGAACAACAGATATAGAATGAAACTTTATGAATCTTTAGATTTTAGAAAGGTATTTATAAATTTCAACTTTATAATATTATATATATATATATATATATATATATATATATATATATATATATATATATATATATATATATATATATATATATATATATATATATATATATATATATATATATATATATATATATATATATATATATATATATAAACAGGCCTTGCGATAAAGCGTCGGGCAATGTGAATTTTATGTCGTCTAAGAGCGATTTTGCGTGTAGCTAGGGCTATTTGCGTCTAGCAAAAAAATTTTTGTTTGATTTAAAGATATTTTAGATAGATATAAAGAGCGGAATTTACGATTATTTTAACACTTAATAAAGTATTTTAAAAACCGCACGCAGTTTATATAAAAGTTTGAATTACAAAAAAAAATAAATATGCTCATTATTTACAAGTAAAAAAATTCAGATTAAAAAAAAGTTTAAATCTTTTTAAGCTTGCATTTTAATAAAATTAATCAGCAATAGCAAAGTTGTTGATAAAATTGAACAAAAATACTTTCTTTTAGTTTTTAGATTTTTAACTTAAATAATTATTTTACGGGGGTTTGTTAGGTTTTAAAATTATTCCATAGATTTAAAAATATTTATTAACTGTTAGATAAATTTAGAGTATTTAAGAGTAATTTCAAGGAAACATTTTAAAAATTGGTAAGCGCAAATATAAAAAAAAATAAAAAGATTAATATTAAAACGTATTCTACTTGATTCAATAAAAAGTACAGTTATTAAAATTTTTGTAAAAAGTAACTCAAAAAAAATTACAATCAATAATAACAATCGCTTTTTTGTTAAAAGTTACCGAAACTCAACGAAGTGTGCTCAAGAACAGCTGCTGTAAAATAGAACGTCAATAGTTTTTCGAATAATTTTTAATAATAATTTTTAAGAATATTTTTTTTGCTGAAATATTTCTTTTATACCTAAAAGAGTTTTATTCTAACATTTTATTTTACTTTACCAAAAATAAAATTCCTTGTAAACATTAAAAATCTATTCAAAACGTTCGTTAAAGTTTTTTAATAATTTGAGTGATTGTGCTTATCAACCGCTTTATGAAAATAAATAAAAATAAATAAATAAAAAAATATTATATAAAATTGCTAGTAAAAATATTAGCTATTGCACAGTTTTTAATCATACAATATTAAAATTTCCAGTTTATTACTCTCTGACTTTTTAAAAAGAAAAAATAATTATTTGAAAAACTTATTTATTCGTTTAGTATAGACAAAACGTGTCAAACGTCAAAAAAATAAACAAATGTTTTAACATTTTAAAAAGCGAAACATTCCAAAACATTTTTAAATAATAACATTTCAACATTAATGATTTAAAGTAGTTTTGCGGTAATTAAGTAAATTGGTGCAGTTAATGTCGATAAATATGAAAAGCAAATAAAAAGAATTTAATGACATCAAAAATCACGTCGTGCTTATGCGTCGCGCAGTTTTCATTCATCACAAGGCCTGTATATATATATATATATATATATATATATATATATATATATATATATATATATATATATATATATATATATATATATATATATATATCAGGCTTTCCCAGGAAAGGCGTGCGGTCGCACACCTTGTTTGTCCACGCATAAAATAAATTTTTCTGACTAACTGACCACGTTTTGTTATTATGCGTTTCAAAAATTTGCGCCAAAACAAAGCTAAACGAAAATACCGCAAAAATGCAAGCAATCTTAAAGTAAATAACAGAAATCTGTTTGTGCTTTAAAATTAAAAAATTAATGTATATTATTAAAAAAAAATTTTACCTATATTTTATTTATTTATATATATATATTTTTTTGGGTGGTAGTTTTTTAGCTATGAAAAATCAAATCAATAAGAAAAATAAAATCAAAAAAAAAAGGTTATAGTTTAATAAAAATAAAAGGACCTTTTAATGTAAAATTTGTTAATGACTTTTATCAGTCAGTAATACTTTAAAATTCACGATAGAACTATAAACAATTTTTAAATGTTTCGTAAATACATTTAAATGTTTAAATGTATTGATACGCAAGAAAGCGCGAAAACAATTGCTATTTATTTGTAAAATATGTTTTTTTTTTATTTTCAAATGAAAGAAAATTTTATTGTCAAACGATTGAGTTTATTTTATTTTGCAATCTGTTTTCGTAACAATGACAACAGAAGCAACGCAGTTATTTTTTTAACTTCTTTTGTAATTACAAAATTATGCAATTGAATAATTTCAACATAATAAAAGGCGAGCATTGACTAATTATAATCAGTTTAGAATAAGTCGAGAGAACTTTTTTCACATTAAAATTTTGTTATGTTCAAAATCTCAAATAATATATTTAATAACTAAAACAGCAATTTATTTTCTTGTCTAAGTATTGGGGAATAACGTCATCGCCTTTGCATAAACCTTCGTAAAAAATAAATTAAATGAAAAAATTTAACTAAATTTGTCTAGCGTAAATAATGAATCAGTTTTTTAAAACGTTGTCTGATAAAGTTCGTGAATAAATTACGTATCAAGTCTTTTTATTTTCATGAAAACTTAATGACTTTTAGTCATATTTTCCTTGACTTGTATCAAATTTCGTAGCTGAAAATAGCAACCCTAAAAAAAAAAAAAAAAAAAAAAAACAGTATAAAAATTTTGAATAAAATGCAGGATTTTTTTTTTTTGTTGTTACAAATTTTTTTTTTTTTTTTTTTAATTTTTTTTTTATTATCAAAATATTTTTTTTACATCCAATTTCAATTTTATACTTTGTTTAGACTTTGTTTCCTTTTTTTAATATCATTTTTTATTCTCTGTGGATAAGTTCCGCTTTCCCACGAAATATTGCCGCGGTCACATTTTCTGAAAAATTTATTCTTTGCGTGGTCAAACAAGGCGTGCCACCGCACGCCTTTCCTGGGAAAGCCTGATATATATATATATATATATATATATATATATATATATATATATATATATATATATATATATATATATGTATATATATATATATATATGTATATATATATATATATATATATATATATATATATATATATATATATATATATATATATATATATATATATATATATATAATATATATATATATATATATATATATATATATATATATATATATATATATATATATATATATATATATATATATATATATATATATATATATATATATATATATATATATATATATATATATATATATATATATATATATACATCTTTTACAAATATTCGCGGTCTACGAAGCAACTTTCCATCAGTTGAGTCTTCAACTGATGGAAAGTTGCTTGAATTTCCATCAGTTGAAGATGGACTCTGGTGAATTTTGCCTCCTGCAAAATTCACCAGACTTGCTTGCACTCAGTGAAACAAATTTAAATTCTGCAATTCCTTCTTCAGATGTCAGTGTTGATGGGTACTATCCTTTGATTCGTAAAGACTCAAATAGGCACATACTAGGTTTAGGGGTATACATACGCATTAATTCCCCTATTTGTCGTGAAATCAGGTTCGAATCCTTTGACCATTCTTTTATGTGCTTTCGCCTAGCACCTCTTCACTCTATCACCTTTCTCTTTATTCTTTATCGTTCTCCTTCTTCCCATGATTGCACTCTCTTAGATGTTATCTCTGATCAAATTGACCATGCCCTCTCTCTTTACCCCTCTGTCAATATTGTTGTTGTTGGTGATTTTAATGCCCATCACACTGACTGGCTTGGCTCTAACACCACTGATCCTGCTGGCACTAAAGCCTTTAACTTCTGCGTTTCTCAATCTCTTACTCTGATAGTTAACTTTGTGACTCGTTTTCCTGACAACCCTAATCATTTACCTTCACTCCTTGACTTATGTCTTGTCTCTGACCCTAGCTTATGTTCAGTTTCTCCCTTTTCTCCCTTAGGTGGTTCTGACCATGCAATGATCTCTATAAATCTTTCTTCTCGTACTTCTTTTTTGGGCTCACCTTATCATCGCACCACCTACTACTACCCTAAAGCTGACTGGGATTCCTTTCGTGATTTTCTTTGTGATCGTCCTTGGGCTGATGTTTTTTCTCTCTCAGCTGACAAATGCGCCTCCTACGTAACCTCCTGGATTCAGGCTGGAATGGAAGCTTTTATTCCTTCGCGTCGGTTTCAAGTCAAGCCTCATTCTACTCCATGGTTTTCTCCTTCTTGTGCGGCTGCTATATCCAATCGTAATCATTTTTTTCATCTTTTTTTAAAGAACAACTCTCTTGAGAACAAACGGCTATTTATTATTGCAAGAAATCGATGTAAAAAGGTGCTTTCTGATGCTAAACTCCATTATTCTCAGTTCACTAAATCTTGCATCTTATCGCAGAAGTTAGGCTCTAAAGACTTTTGGAAAATCTTCAACAGCATTATTAACAAGGGTAGATCTAACATTCCATCTCTCATTCATGGGACTGATCTTATTACCTCTCCCAGGGATAAGGTAGAACTATTTGCAAAGAACTTTTCTTCTAATTCCACTCTTGAATCTTATGGACATTCTCTTCCTTCCATTCCAGTCAAACAGGTTGACCCATTATTAGACATTCAAGTCACTCCGGCTTCTGTTGCTAAAGTCATATCTCAATTAAACTCGTCTACAGCTTGTGGTCCAGACAACATTCCTGTCACAGTCTTGCAGAATTGTTCTCCAGAACTTTCTTCAATTCTCTCTAAACTATTTAACAAGTGTTTGACTGAGTCTTGTTTTCCTGCTTGTTGGAAATTGGCATCTGTGGTTCCAATATTCAAAAACTCTGGAGAATATTCTGACCCCTCCAATTATCGTCCGATCAGTCTTCTTTTTGTTAATAGCAAGGTCTTTGAGTCTTTAATCAACAATTTCCTCACATCTCATCTTGAGTCAAATAAACTACTGTCAGACAATCAATAAGGTTTTCGATCCTCTCGCTCTACAGCCGACTTGCTAACTGCTGTAACTGAAAGATTTTATCGTGCATTAGATGGAGGCGGTTAGGCTAGGGCGGTTGCTCTCGACATATCTAAAGCTTTCGACAAAGTTTGGCATGCTGGTCTTTTCCATAAGCTTGCTTCATACGGTGTTTCTGGGATAGTTTTTGAGATTATCAAATCATTTCTTTCTAACCGGTTTATTAAATTCATCCTTGAAGGCCAACACTCTTCTTTATTTCCAGTAACTTCTGGGGTTCCCCAAGGTTCCATCCTGGGCCCTGTTTTGTTTCTTATCTACATAAACGATCTTCCTGACAACCTTTCATCTAAAGTAGCTCTTTTTGCTGATGACTCAACTTTATACTCCTGTCTTGACAAAAAGTTTTCTCTTTTCGATCGCCTAGAACAAGCAGCTGATCTTGAATCCGATCTCACTTCAGTAATAGATTGGGGTTCACAGTGGCTTGTGAATTTCAACTCTAAAAAAACCCAATTGCTTACTGCAAACAACTACCGTAATATGGTCAACATTCATATATTAATGAATGGCAATCCTCTTACTGAGTCCTCCTCTTTACTTCTTCTTGGATTATTGCTTACTACTGACCTTTCATGGAAACCATATATACAATCGATTGCTAAATTAGCTTCTGCTAAGGTTTATCGTGCTCGCCATTTCCTTACTTCTGATTTCATTCTCTACCTCTACAAATCTTTTATTCGTCCCTGTATGGAATACTGTTGTCATATTTGGGCTGGTTCTTCTAACGATTCACTTTCTCTTCTTGACAAGGTCCAAAAACGCATTGTAACGGTTGTTGGACCTGAACTATCTGCTAAGCTTCAGCCTTATTCCCATTGTCGTAAAGTTGCATCTCTTTCTCTTTTCTACAAATACTATCATGGTCACTGCTCAAAGGAGTTATCATCTCTAGTTCCATCAACTAAAATTCATTCTCGTTTTACTCGTCATTTAGCTAAGTCTCATTCGTTTACTGTATCTCTCTCTGCATGCTCTAAAAACTTTTATTCATCTAGTTTTTTTCCCACACTTCAATCCTTTGGAACTTTCTCTCATCTTCATGTTTTCCTGACTCATACAACCTTCAACTTTTCAAGTCTTCTGTCAACCGTTTCCTTGCTCTATAACTCTGTTCTTTTTTTTCCTAGTAACTCTGAACTTAATAGTGGTTGCTTGCAGCCTTGTTGGGAGTGCAAATAAAAAAAAAATAACTAAAAATAAGTAAATAACTAGTTTTCAGTTTCTATTTTAGCAACTTAATTTTTAATTCAGGACAATAAAATGAATTAAAAAGTAATTACGTGATTTAATTTGTTTAACATTTGAACTGTTGTTATGTTAATAAATTTTAAGAAATTAATGTTATGAAATTTAAAAACTTAATATAAAACACAATTTAAAGACAATGAATTGTATAAAAACCTGTTTTTTCTGAAACATCAAACAGTTTTAAAATCCATTATAAAGAAATAAATATATATACTAAAATAGATTTTAAAATAGATATTATAAAGAAAAACCTCACTTAATCATTACTTGTAGTTATTTTATTTTACCTTTTCCCACCTCCCTACATTAAACTTCCTCCACTAATTTGCTGAGCAAAAAAATTTCCTGGATTTTATGGGATTTAGTTAAAACTATTTCCAGGATTTTAAAAATTTAAGAAGCCATCTTTATATCAAGGAAAAATAATTTAATTTAAAGTAAGATGTTATAAAATTTAAATTAACTTAAGTATTATCTTGTGATAATATGAAAATATGATAACATTATCATGTGATAATAGATCAGATAAAATTTTAAAGTATATTTTTTAAAGTTTTATCTTTTATCTCAATTAGGGCATAACAGAATCTTGATCGGGAAATCAGTACCAGACAGGTTTTGCTAAAAACTGATTAATTGGTATCGGCACCAAAACGGCAGACCAATCCAAATAGTGAAAATAATCAAAATAAGTAGTTAAGTAAATAACCAAAACAAAAGACAAAATAACCTAAAATATATGTTTTTTTCAAAAGAAAGCAGAAAAACTCAAAAAGTATTTATAGCAAAAAACACTCTGCACATATTACTCATTTCTGCGGTTTTGTCAATTTAATAAACACACTTAATGAGCATGGTCTCAAATATCAATACTCAATATTATTCACGATTCACAATTTTTGTTTTGTATTGTAAATTATAAATCATTAAAATCAAAACAAATAATTTTAAATATTGAGGTGGCGGGACAGCTCAGATGGTTAGAGCGTTAAAGGAAAAGTAAAAACCCGGAACGTTGAACAGTACGAGTTCAAATCCCGCCACCACCAACTCAGCGCTTGAGTGGTACTTCGGTATGCAAAAATGTTGGTCAATAACGGACGCTACTTTGGATTAGTCTTAATTACTATTTTTGGCTGTTCCTATGCTAAGCCAACAATATCTTCGGATATAAGAACATTGTATAGAAAAATATAGCATGAAAACTCAAATAAATAAATATCTTTGAATAACTTTAAAACTTTAAATAATAAGTGAATTTTATCATAAATAAAAAGAATTGTAAGTTTGGAACAACTTTTGGAACATCTACGATTAATATTTTATTAAAAATTCAAAATCTAACTATGTAACCTAACTATCTGTATTGTATTCAGAATCGGCAAATACCAAATAAAAAAGTTTGGAATGGGCAGAAAAACACCAATCAGATATGCCCTAGTCTCAACATCTACAACATTATTTTGATTTAAACAATATAAAAAAATAATGTATAATTTAACAATGTAAATATATCATTTTAAAAATATATAATATATTGTACCAAAATACTTTTGCATATAAGTATGGTTTATATCTAATTTTTAGTTTTTTCAAAGCCTGTTTTAGGTTGGCTCTCGACTCCTTCATTGGGTCCTAGTGTTCAAATGATTATGCAACTGGCATCTTATGTTCTTTATAATCTTATGTTAAGTGAAGACATTACAAAGAAACTTGTCAATGAGACAAACCTTCTTGATATTCTTGATACAGGACGTAGGTTTTAGCTACAATTAGTTGATACGTAATGTCATTGTAAACATTATATGTTTTGTAAGTAAGAATTAATTGTAAGTAGTTATTGCATAATGTTTTAATTTTAATACATGATGTTTTTAATTAAAATAATTGTTGGATGTAAATAATTATAATGAAAATAATGTATAAAATAATTGATGTTGGATGTAATATGTATGAAAGCAATAATTTTAATTCGTAATTCCAGTTGTCGTAGTACTGATTTGTTATAATTTTTTAGAAATTTTTTAGCTAGTTTTTTTAAATATATATTTTATTTGTTGAATATTTAAACAAAACAATTTACTTCAGAAATTATTACTATTCTGTTCTACTCAGTGTAAGTGTTGTTATACAGAGTTGCTACCAAATCAGGGAATTAAGGGAAAGTTTAGATCATGGAAAATCTGGGGGCAAAGATTGATTTGGTTAAAAATCTGGGAATTTTTAAGTTTTGCACTATTTTATTTTAATATTTTAAAATGATTTATGGTAAACAATATTCCTTATTTAGGTTACAAATTAAATAATCGTATAGCTCAAAAGATTGTTTGAATATAATAATATGATCATTTTTTTTTTAATTAACTTTTTTCTGGCTGTTTATTTACAGTTGAATGTTTTAAATGAATCTATTAAATTATTTAATGGTAACTTATTTGAATGAAGAATGGTTGATCTATTTTTAAAAAATGGCTGGTATATTACACAGGAAAAAAGTCAGCAAAGTGCAAAACATGTTCCATTAACTTTTATTTAATTTATCAAATATGGATTAGAGTGGTGTGACAAGTCACATGGAGGGCAAAAAAAATAAATTTGGAAATTAAAGCTTTTTTTTGCTACTTTAGGCCTGCACATAAAATTTCGAAAAGTTTGTTTAGTAGATCTGATAAAAAATGTTCAGTAGTTTTGCATTCAGTACAACACATTCATTGAACTGCTGTAATCAAGAATCTTTTATTTAAAATATATGTATATAAAAAAGAAAGAAATGACAATTTTTTTTAATAATATATAAGAAAAAGTTTATTTAATATTTTACCAATTAAAAATTTTACTCTGGAAATCATTTTAGACCAATTTTATGTCAAATAGAAATCAGAGGAAATTAGAAAATTGCAAGCAAATAAAAAAATGTGATAATACTTAAATACTTTATGAAACCATTATAAATCAAGAAATATCTTAAGGAGCAAAAAAAGGTGATGTATCTAGTATGAAAGGCAAATGTTTATTATTGTCTTTCTAGAAAGACATTGTTTCTAGAAAGACATAGTTTCTAGAAACACATAGTTTGACATTGTAGATTTTTTTTGTATATGGATATTAGTCAATCTGTTTTTTTTTTAAGCAGTAAAAAGAGTCTAGGACTTCATGTTGAAGTTTTAATGCTAATTATTTGAGTTTATCAGGGAGAAATAAGCAAAATTTTATATCAAAAAAGCTCAGATAAAATCACGGAATTTTATTCCAGAATTATAGTGGCAACCCTGTTATAAAAATTAAAATTTTATTCAAATCTGTTAAAGTTATAAAGCCATTAAAATTTGTTATAGAAACAAATTTTCAATTTATTTGTACATTCAGTCAATGAGTTAATTTTCCTAAGTTCTAATGGTAGATCATTATACACTCTAGCACTAGAGTAATAGAAATCAGTCAGATTTTTGAAACTTTATTCAGGTGGCAATTATTTCTTGTTGCTTTTGCATGGTTGAACACAAGTTTTTTGATGCTTTAAATATGTTGAAATATGTTACTTAGTTGATTTGCATTAAATTAAAAATTTAATGTTTCGATTTTCAATTGATTTGTTTAATATTTAATAAAAACATGTGAAAAACTCTTGTGACATCATCATCTCTGTTGGAAAAACTGTATGTGGTTATCATCAAAGATCTCTTTCTCAGATACTTAGTTTTATCAGCTCTTTAATATTTGAAAAAATTCTAATATATTAAGAAGAATTGTTTTTTTTTTTATTTTTTATTTTAATTCACCTCCTCAAGGCCGAGAAGGCCACTACAGACAAGAAGGCTACTTATTTGTGGTTATAACCCTCTCTCAACTCTATAACTCCGAAACACGAACCTTGATAAACAAGGCCGCTGCGCGGAGAAACAAGTTGAGCGCGGTACTACCAGGGACGTGGTAGGGATCCAACTCGGAACCACTCGTTTTTGAAGCGAGCGCTCTACCACTACACCACTACCGCATTAAAGTGTTGGCCTGATTTAGAAGGATTCAGGGTATATTCACAATAGATTCACAATGAAGTTTTCTTTCTTTCATTGTTTGATAAATTCCATAATTTAGCTGTTTTAAAAATTAATGAATTTTTTTAAAATTTTAAAATTGGTTTTAAATTTATAATCTTTTGAAACTTCTCTTTGTTTGCAATATTATATATTATATATTATGAGATATTATACAAATTTGTTTTTAACTTATAGCATTTTTTGTTTTTAGTATTTAATCCAAGTTGGCATATATCTCGTCAATACCAAATGCTTGTGTTTGCTGTTGCAAAGCATGGAGGCACATTGCGAGATGCTTTGTTGAAAAATAAGGTACTTATTTTTAGTGTTTGTTTTTAATTCTATATATATAGTTTAATATAATATAGTTTTAATTCTTGATCAAGTCAGTTCTTGTTAGGGTGTTTTCAGCTTGTTTTTTTTTTTTTTTTTTGAACCACAAATTTTGTTTAAAAAATCAGTTATTTGAATCACAAGGTTGTTTGAAAATTAGTGATGTCATGGTGATGTCATGGTGATGTCATGGTAACAAGCTGCACTTTTAACATATAGCTATAACTTGTGCAGCAATAAAATTTTTTTTTTTGATGCAGCTGTATCATAAATACCTTAAAACTGTATTTTAAAAGTGGTATTCAAATGTATTTTAACAGCCTAAACTTGATGACCAAAGGAGACTACTAAAATAGCTGTTATTGCATTAATTGTTATACAAACCTGCAGGTCTATGGAATAGGAGTCACACTTACGAAGTTGCTACATTTTTAGCGAAGTCGCAACATTTTTCGGAGTTGTACTCTAAAAGTTTCAACGACCGGAGTCGGTAGTTTTTTACGACTCCACACCCCTGTTTGCAAATCTTTTTGCCAGTGCTTCTGACATTTCATATGAAATTTTTTTTACTAGTGTTGCACTCAGTTAGGAAATACAATTTGGAGTTTGTGCTTATTCCTTCTAATAAAATTTTTTGATGTTCCATAAAAAAAATGTAAAAAATTTTTTTTCAAAAAATATTTGCGACTATTGCCCTCAGTCATACAAGGACTGGTCAGCCTATACATTTTTTTATAACAACATTCAACTGGTTAGTCAAACAGTTGAATGTTGTTATAAAACCATACTTTCATCTTATTATTCATGTAACTTTAATCCAACTAAAGGTTACTTGATTCATCTCAAAAAGATGTCTGGGAACTAAAATTCTAATCTGGTAATTATCTGCATAAAAAAATAAGGCAGGTTTGGATTCAAATTTTACATCTAAATATTTGAGAAAGCTTTATTTGCCTATACATCTCCTTATAATAATGCTAAACTTAATATTAGTAGTGTCCCTTGGAGCATGTTTAACACGGAACCCTTGGCAGCCATTGCAACCAAGGTGATGGATGGCGAGAAAGAGTTGCAGCACTTTTTTAATAAGAAATTGTGAATGAAAGTGTATGCATATATTTAAAAAGCAAATTACTTCAAGTTATGTAATGTCTGTGTAATTAAAATTAAAATGTTAAAACATATCAAGTTTTACAGTTTTTCTTTCACTTAAAAATTGCTTTGCGGCAACATCTCCTTAATTTTGATCTATAGCATTTATTTCCATTTTATAAAGTCTTTTGTTTGTAAAATAGTTATAATATATATGTCTGTTGTTGCGCCTGTGTGGCCGAGTGGTTACCTTCCAGAGCTTCTGAAGCAAAGCGCCATGGATTGAATCCCACCTCTGGAACTTTTTTTTTTAATTATTTTTTTTTTTTTTTTAATACAAAATAAAACACTTTTGAAGTTTTATAGATATTATATACTATAACAAACAAAAGAGAGAGAATTTTTTAAAAAGCTGAAAATTTCTAAAAACATCAAAACACCAGTAGAAATTAGTTATAGTTGCGCATATGTCATGATAGAGATGCTTATGTAATTAATGTGCTCAGGTAATTAGTCCTAAAATGCTGCTAATAATCTGAAAAGTAATTATGGTCTGAAACTTAATAAAAAAAAAAATTTAATAAGATAATCCTGTTACTTCAAAAAGTGCTGCTGTAGAGGCAAAAAAAAAAAAAAAGCCTGTAGCTAGAAAATTTTTTAAAATATTTAACAATTAAAAGTCTTTTTTGCTATATTTATTTTTTTTGCTATAAATATATATATAATATATAATAAATATATAATTATATATAATAAAAAAGGGGCGGATTTATACCCTCGAATAACATGCATAAATCTATCAGATTTATGCATGTTATTCGAAAATTTTAAAAACTTTTATATTCATTGCAATCAATTAATAAAGTTAGTTAATTAATTAATGCAATTAATTAAGTTCTCTAAATATGAACAGATTTTTATATTATTTTAAGTTCTCTAAATATGAACGGATTTTTTTATTATTTTAAGTTCTCTAAATATGATTTATTGCAAAACAGCTAATAACATAAGATAACATATTTATTGCATAAAATTATAATAAATATGTTGAAAGCAAATGTAAAAAATCCACTTTTATGATGTTATATACAGAATATAAGAAAGCTTTTCTTATAATTACAAGTCTTTTGCTGAAACATTTTGTTTTGAATTTTTGTATTTATGTTATTGAATACAAGATTTGAATACGGAGTTAACAAGATTGAAAAGGTATGAAAGACAAGATTGAAAAAGTATGAAAAATATTGTGTCATCTAAGTGGAAAATTTGATACTTCAATTTTAGATTTGTTATAACTCTGCCCTCTTTTGACGATTTTTGTTTGCTTCATCTTCTTTGTTCTGTCATTTGTATAGTGTTAGGTGCAAATGTCTATAAGTATAAAAATCTTTAAGCATAAGTTGAGTTTGCTGGGTGTATGTGCAATTGTGTATAATATTTGTGAGAAAACTTTAGAAAAATTTTCAACAATAAGATGTTTTTTTGCTATATATACTTTTTTGCTGTAAATATACACAGTAACATTAAAAAATTAATTATGCTTAGTGGAGGACTTGAATAAAAAGTATAGAAAAGGTTGGTGTGTTTTAGGTTGTACAAAAAAGGAAAACACAAGGATGGGTTATAAAGTTTTTTTGATGTGGAAGGATTAATGAAACTGGAATTATAAAAACTGGATTATTAAAAGCATGAAGGGACAGATACAGTAAAATAATGCAACTTGTTGAATGAGAAGCCAAGTAAGAATGAGTTTTAATTTATTCTAATAGAAATGATAGCTCATTCGAACATTGACCATTACTAGAGAAACAGCATAAAAGAGAAAAGCTAAAGCCTGATGATGATGATGATGATGATGATGATGATGATGATGATGATAATGATGATGATGATGATGATGATGGTAATGATGATTATGATGATCATGTTGATCATAATGATGATAATAATGATGGTGATGATGACGATGATAATGATGATGATAATGATCATGATCATAATAATGATCATGATTATGTTGATCATAATGATGTTTATATATGCACTAATATACAAAATATTTCATGATTTGTGAATAAAAACATTTACTTTGGGATGTATAAATGTTTATGCAGGTCACCAGCTATATTTTATCAAACTGGGCCCTGGCCCTGTTTGATAAATTATAGTCAAAATATATTCAAATATCAAACCCGGTGGCTTACTAATTTGGGCACATTACATTTAGGCACATTAGCAAGGTTTATGTCTCTCAGTACATATTCAATATTTTTGCCTATTAGGTAAACTTGTACTTTATTTAAATAGTTGAACACAATTTTGTTGTTTTTATGAACTTTATTGATGAGGTACATAAAAATAAATTAATCGACCTTCTTTAATTTAATCAGGCATTTGGAAATGTTCACATCCTTGTTGATGCTTGTTGGAGGAAGAAATTTGATGCTTTGAGACCCCTTTCCTTCACAAGTCTATCCAAACTAATATTTTTGGCTCATATTTGCTTTTTCTTTTGATCTCATTACAAGTTGCGTTGGAATCAGAAGTATAATATCCTGTGCAACACAGAGCTTCCTGCCAGGAAGCTCTGTATTGCAGAAAGGAAAATACCATTTGTTGTCAATTATCACAAATTTTTTCTGGAAAAGTGCAACTAATTTTTGGGACTTAGGATGAACAGCAGCTTTCTGAACCTTCTTTTTGGCAATTTAGTTTTTATAACTTCTTTTAGGCAATTTAGTTACAATATCAAAGGCTCTTTTTTTTGTTAATAATTTTGGATATGTACTCTAGGGAGTCATTGAATTTTTTGGCTGCGCTGTGAAAAACTGTCCTACTTATAAATTTTTCTAGGCTGTTTTTTAGGTATTTTTCTATCTGTTTCTATAGTACTTTTTTTGCAGTCCAACCACTTCCAACTTTCTGTTTTGGTCCTATATTGATCTCCTTTCATTGCAGTATACCGCACACGGTTGATTTTAAGACCTTTTTTAATGCGAAAATTATTAATCCTTCAAAGCCTAGGGTATAATTAGAGAATCTGACTTTAAACCAATTCAATTTTCTTATGGGTAATCATATAGTAATATCATATTTATTTAATTTATTAATGCAAAATACCCAGTTCATATTCAAGATATATTTTTCGTACACATTTGTGTACATTGGAGATTTGAGATAACAAAAATGTTAAGACAAATCCCTAAGTAAACAAAAATGTTAAGGCAAATCAGCCACAACCAACAGCAAAAAACAAAAAATAAGTTTTTTTTATAAGTAAACACAGCGTCATAACTATATATTACCCCTATTTCCTGCAAAAAACCTCAATGGAGCACCTTTTTGGATCAGGTACCCCATGTTTTGGAGGTGTTTGCCCCCAACTACACAATTGAATAAATAGAATTGCTTAACAAAAAAAAAAATATTAGTGTGTTATAAGATCATATGTGATCAAAATAATGTATTGTTATCTTCCTTTTGTGCTTAAAGGAATTTATCATGGTGTAAGTTCCTTATGTGCACACTTGTGTACAAAATATTTATATTAAATTTCTTATAAGCATAAAGTAGCAGAACATTTACCAAACATTAGAAAACATGCTTTTAACTTTTGTAAAAAAATTTCCATTAGTCATAATTGCATGTGCATACTTTTTGCTTCACAAAATTTTGGAAAAGTATGTGGCACTTCGCCCAAAATTTAACTTTTTAGTCAGTCCTTGATTTGATGCTGTATTTAAAACAGGAAAATTTCCCGACATGCCCTAAACTTTTTTTTTTTTTTTTTTTTTTTTTGTAGAAAAAAAAAAGACTATGGTATATTGTAGGAAAAAAAAGGACTATGGTATGTTGTAGAGAAAAAAAGACTATGGTATATTGTAGGAAAAAAAAGGACTATGGTATGTTGTAGAGAAAAAAAGACTATGGTATATTGTAGGAAAAAAAAAGGACTATGGTATGTTGTAGAGAAAAAAAGACTATGGTATATTGTAGAAAAAAAAAGACTGGTCTTTATATTGTGAAAATAAATTTACAACATAATAGGTAATATAAAACATCTGGATTTTTAGTGATTTTATTCAAAATCTTATGCGATGTCATACAACATGCTATTAATCAAAATCTAATATGATTAGTCATACAACAAACAGCAAAGTTGCATCCTTTTATTCTATCTGTTCCCTCATGCTCTAATATATTTTATAATTCTAATTTTTTTGCTTGCTGATTAATGCATGCAATTCTCTCTTGTTTTTATGTTTTCCCAACTCATTGTTTTTTTGCATTTTAACATTATAATTTGTTTTCTGGTAACTCATAACTTAATTAGTGGTTTATTACAGACTTGTTGGTATATAGCAGATACAAAAATTCTTAGGGAGTTAGATACAGAAGGATGGTGGGTACATAAATTCCTTAGGATGGTGGGTACATAAATAATATATTCCATATTTTCCCTATTTCCATATTTCCATAAATTCCCTAGGATGGTGGGTACATAAATTCCTAAGGAGGTGGATGCAAAAGTTCTTTGAGAGATTGATGCAGATGTTTTTAGGGAGGCAAATACAGAAGTTCTTAGGGAGGCGGATACAGAAGTTCTTAGGGAGGTGAATACAGAAGTTCTTAGGGAGATGGATACAGAAAAATAAATGCTTAACTCTTCAATAAATATTTTACTTAAAAAAAGTTTTTCCAAGTATTTAATTTAATATTTATATTTATTTATATTAGGGAGATGATATTTATAATTTAATAATATTTTTCATCAATATCTAGAATATTTTTGAAGCATTGGTTCATCAACTTTATTCTATAGATGAAGACGTGAGTTTTTATTTACTCTGTGCTTTTCTGTTCAATTTTTATTTTATTTAAACCCTTTAGGGGATATGATATTAAGTATGTGTACATTATTTTTTCTGTTTTTTGCTTTTTTGTTATAGACATAAGTATTTGTACATGTTCTTTTCCGTTCTTTACTTACCTTAGATATTAAATGATTTTTTGAATTAGTTTATTACAAAATAATATCTTGTTAGGTTACTCCAAGACTAATGCGTTTGATTGAAGAATTATCAAAAGCGTGCAAAACAGCTAACGAACTCTATCAATCAGGTTTTAATCCTAAACTCTTGATTAATAATGGTCATTTTTATGCTGTACGTGTTTTTTTAAAAAGTTTTTCTGATTTATTATTTTTTGTCTTGTTTAATTCCACTCGGTAATGAGTTCATTATAATGGGTTTTAATAACAATAGGATTCCATAACAATAGAATTATTAACAAAAGGATAATGTAATAATTATTACAAATTAGTAAAATTGAGTTATGGTTGTTTGACTGCATAGCTTTGTGAACTAGTCAAAAGTTGTATCTCTAACATTTTTGCAGATATAAGAGTTTTTATGGATTTTTGATGACAATGTTTTTATCAAATAATAAGTTTTGTAATCATTAATTTTAAAAAATGTGATTATTATTATTACACTTCTTTGTTATCTTTTTATTGTATTTATTTCATAAATTGTAAAAAAAAAATTGAAATTTATTCGCGTAAATTTTATGTAGCTTTTATATAATTTATAATTTTTTGAATATATTTGCTAACATATTTTTTTAACGTTAGCATTCGTATCATATGGATCAAATAAGAACAGGGTTTCAAAAATATGTTGGGTGAGTTGTGTTATAAGTTTTGTTTTGCAAAGTTTTTTTTTTAATTAAAATGTTTTTAATTTATTTAAAAAATTATAAGTGAATGGACCATCTATAAAAATTTTAACTGTGGATTACTGACAAACTGTGGAATGCAGGCCTGGTTTCATCTTTTTTTTTTTGTAGGTACCGTACTGAAAATGATTTAATTTACTAGAAATTACAAACAATGATGAACAATTAACAAAAATTTTATAATTCTAATAAATCTATAAAATGGTGGAAAATGTGTTGTATAGTATAAATATATACGTTATTTATTTATTGGTTCACAATTTTGTTTTATCTAAGGGTTGTGCTTGATTCATAATGTGAAAGAAAAAGTCATTAAAAATTTTTCCCGTTATTGATTGGTCAATTGATTGATTTTAAATAGAAATAAGTAAAACAGTTATGTGGATTTAGAAAGTGCATGGTTTTATAAGGAGTCTAGGATTAGGGTTTTCAGACCACAATTGCAATTAAAAACTTGGTTTTGTTGTAAAATGTGCACCAAATAAATATGTTCTGCTTGTCAAAACAATTTTTTATCGTTTTCGGTTCTGTTGCAATATCACTTACAGATAAATAGCTGTTAGGTGTGTGTAGTAATAGCTCTAACAAATGAATAAATTTATTCATTGTGTTTGTGGAATATTTACAATATTTAATAGTTAGAAACTTTTGAGTTTTAAAAATTTATTAAAAAAATAGACAAATAAAATTGTTTCTGTTATATTTACGTATTAATTATTTTCTTTAACAGTTTGCAAACATGCACACAAAAAAATGTTTTATGAAACTCTATCTCAGATCATGCAACAGTGAACAAAAAAATAATCAGTTAAGTCTAAGTCTAGTGATGATTATAGTCGGTGGAATAATATTACACACATTTTAATTGTTTTCTTTAATTTAATTTGGTTAAGTTTCCTAATGAAAAAACAAATTTCCTATTGGACAGTTAAGAAATTTTGCTTTTCTATTTGAGCACAGTAGACCTCTGCACAGTGGTAGGTAGGAGCAATTCGTAATATGCAATTCCATGTATGCTCCACCATACTGTAAATATTATCCTTTTCAAATAAAGTTTAGGTTTTAAAGTTGGTATTAACTTTTGGGGTTGTGCTAAGCTAATGGAGTTTTCTGGTGTAATTAACATAAAGATTCCATCATCTACCACCATCCACCACCCATCACCTCTAATAACATTGTCAAGCCAACCCATATTTGATTTTGCAAAAAAGTCAAAATGCTGATATTGAAGTAAACTCTAAAACACAAACCTTTTTAAATAAGGTCAGAGTGGTCAGAAAAACAGTTATTGACTGCAGAATTTCCAGAGGCATACTGTGGATTTGAACTCTGTGAAGAGATTCGAACTCTGTTTTACCACAAATCTACTATAGCACAATGAAACATTCTGCAAAATGCACTGCTGGCATTAAAAAAAAATTTATCAAATAAAAAACAAAAAATTTACTATTAAAATATGGAAAAGTATTAAGTTTTTTATTAAGTTTCAGGTATAATATTGTTTTATGGAAACAATTTTGAAGTAAGCTATCTAAAATATGTTAGCTAAATAGTATAAGTTAAGTTGATTAAAACTGTGTTTATACTTTAGGGGTTGGCGTGCAGAAGAGCAAAAGGCTATTGATAACAGTAAGCATTCGGATAAAATGTTTGATAATCGCCAAAATGTGGACTTTCTTAAAAGACTTGGTAATGATGAATTAAAAAAAAAAAACTACTCTAAAGCTCTTCAATTGTATTCAGAAGCTATTGATAGATGCTCTTTGCGAGTTAAGTGTCCAGACGGTAAAGATTGCCCTTCTTGGAAAAAGGATTTAGGAGAGAATGTGTTTCACTGGTATTTACAATATTTTTATTTTCTTTATTTTTTTGGTCACAACACAAATTTAATCAAGTTACCAGTTATTACTATAAATTATTTAAAATATTTTAAACTTAAACTCTTTTTTGATTTCATAAGCTTTTACAGCATTATATTTTTAAAACATTTTGTTAAAAAAAGATATTAGTTTTTATGTGCACCATTATACTTAGTTTATTTGTGCTCCCTCAAGCTTAGTTTATGTGTGTACCCTCAAGCTTAGCTTATGTGTGCACCCTCAAACTTAGTTTATGTGTGTACCCTCAAGCTTAGCTTATGTGTGCACCCTCAAACTTAGTTTATGTGTGTACCCTCAAGCTTAACTTATGTGTGCACCCTTAAACTTAGTTTATGTGTGTACCCTCAAGCTTAGTTAATGTGTGCACTCTCAAGCTTAGTTTATGTGTGAATTCTTAGTTTGTGCTCCCTCAAGCTTTTACTCATTCTTTTACACCTCTCACCACTATCAAACTTTTAATAAGGTTGAGAAATCAAACTTTTTTTTATCTATTTTTTTAACTTAAAGCAACAGCATTAGCTGCTGTTGCTTTAAGTTTAGCTAGTTTACTTTTTTCAATAATATTTAGGTGGGTTGAACCTGCAACCTTGTTCGCCAGTCGTGCTCAGTGTTACTTGAAACTTAAAAATTGGAAAGCTGCTGTCAGTGAAGCTAGCAAATCAATATGTGCATGTTGGATACGTAAGTTTCTGGCTGAAGATAAATGATCATTTTTCACTCTAATTTTTTTTCTTTTTTGCCTTTTCTATGTTGAAATGGATTTTGATTTATATCCAATCTTTTTTTTTTTCAAAAATAATAAAACTCTTTTTTTCTGAGATTTTCAGTTTTAATTTTAACTAGGGTTTAATTTAAGAATTGTTTTCTGTTTCAATTAACTAAGCTTTTTTTTTCTAAACTTTTTTCTAAAAATCAAGTACAGTTTATTAATAAAATAATTATTTGAATTTTTACATTCAGCTTCAACAGAAGGTGCACCTCGTAGAGAAAAAATTTTTATTAAAGCAACATATAGGCGTGCAAAAGCTTGGTATGAGTTAAAAGATTACCTCAAAGCCCTTAATGATATATCCTGTGTTTGTGAACTTGCTTCTGATAATCTATTATTTAAAGCATTTTACAAAGAAGTAATTTTTTTATTTTACATTTTTTTTATTTTAGATTTTTTTTTAAACATTTTTTGTTTTCAAAGAATTTTAATTGTTTAAATTTTTAAAAAATTTTAAAAATTCATACTTTTAAAGTTTTTAATAAGTTAAAAATAGTTTTTTTTTGTAATTTACTTTAATAATAATGCTTTTGAAAATTAGTTGAAAAAATGAGTAAAAAATATTATATTAAAAATAAGTGCAAGAAAAATATTTGTTTACCAGTTGTCATTTGTTTGAACATGAGTATGTATGATATATATCGTGTTATTAATATAACACGATATATATTATACATACACACTCGGCACACACTCAGGCACACAAAACATCTCAAAGGAATATCTATTAAATTCAAATATTTTAGGATTCAAATAGAGATGATAATTTTTTTTGTCTGTGTGCTGTGTATTTTTTTTTTGCATGTTACTAGCTTAATTGAAAGTTTTATTTTTTCACTTAAATTTCATGAGGTTATTGGTTGTGGTACTGTCAGAGGAACAAAGGTTGATTTTAAAAGACTGCTTCTAAAACAAATGACTTCTTTGTAATTGAACTTTTTTTTTTTTTTTTACTGATAAATGGATCTCAGAAGTTAGTTTTTATTCAATACATTCATTTTAGTTATTGTTCAATACATTCATGTTAGTTTTTGTTTAATATATTATTATAATAATTATAATATATTATTATAAATAATATATTATTATAATAACTATAATATATTATTATAAATAATTATAATAATTTATTCAATATATTATTGTTCTTGTTCAAGAACTTTTTCATAAAAAATGTTTATGAACCTTCTTAAAATTCTTTGATTTTGAGCTTTTTTAGAAAAATACTTGATTTTTGAGCTTTTTCAGAAAAATACTTGATTTTCAGAAAACTTTTCCAATAATAAAAATAGCTATAGAACTTTATGCAATCAAATCTGTTGTTAACTTAGTAGCATATAATACCATGAATATAATTTTGTTTGTAAATGAGAACATGTATAATGTAAATATAGTACTATAAATATGGATCTATTTCTTTATGAAATGCTCTTGGTAAACATCAGGATCAATTTGCACTCCTGAGGGTGCTTGCTTGTGTGCTGAGTGCTTGTAACGTAAAACAAATTTTCATTAAACATAAATCTTAGTGATGTTATTTGAATCCTTTTTCTCAGTATTATCACTCATCATTTGATGTACCTAAAAGTTCTGACTTCTAGTATATCACTAAAGAACCCAAGTTGTTCTTTTATTTATCTTTGTATAGTTAGCTTTTTTAATGTAACATAAACCTTATCCTCTCCTTTATCAATTTAGCTTGATGTTTTATAATATCTAGTTTGTATGATATGTACAAATTTTCATGCAACATAACACAATTATTAACATTATTAACACAACAAATATATTCAATGCAATGTATCTCAGCATTTAATTCTAAGAGGGTTTAATTTTGAGAGGTTCTAATTGTTCAGTTGGTCACTTGTGCGGTACTTTTTAATGCAATAAAATTCTGTCCCTTTTCGTTCTCATATAACAAAGCCAAACCTTGGATTTTGAATTTTTGCGCTAATACATTCTTTATTTTGATTTGTTGATACTTTTTACACTTTTTTTTTTATTTGCATTTACTCCCAACAAGGCTGCAAGCAACCACTATTAAGTTGGGAGTTACTAGGAAAAAAAAGAACAGAGTTATAGAGCAAGGAAACGGTTGACAGAAGACTTGAAAAGTTGAAGGTTGTATGAGTCAGGAAAACATGAAGATGGGAGAGAGTTCCAAAGGATTGAAGTGCAGGGAAAAAAACTAGATGAATAAAAGTTTTTAGAACATGCAGGGACAGATACAGTAAACGAATGAGACTTAGCTGAATGACGAGTAAAACGAGAATGAATTTTAGTTGATGGAACTAGAGATACTATCATGGTCACTGCTCAAACACCTTTGAGCAGTGACCATGATAGTATTTGTAGAAAAGAGAAAGAGATGCAACTTTACGACAATGGGAAAGAGGTTCAAGCTTAGCAGATAGTCCAGGTCCAACAACATTTACAATGCGTTTTTGGACCTTGTCAAGAAGAGAAAGTGAATCGTTAGAAGAACCAGCCCAAATATGACAAAAGTATTCCATACAGGGACGAATAAGAGATTTGTAGAGGTAGAGAATGGAATCAGAAGTAAGGAAATGGCGAGCACGATAAAAAGAAGCAACCTTAGCAGAAGCTAATTTAGCAATCGATTGTATATATGGTTTCCATGAAAGGTCAGTAGTAAGCGATAATCCAAGAAGACGTAAAGAGGAGGACTCAGTAAGAGGATTGCCATTCATTAATATAGGAATGTTGACCATATTACGTTAGTTGTTTGCAGTAAGTAACTGGGTTTTCTTAGAGTTAAAATTCACAAGCCACTGTGAACCCCAATCTATTACTGAAGTGAGATCGGATTCAAGATCAGCTGCTTGTTCTAGGCGATCGAAAAGAGAGGACTTTTTGTCAAGACAGGAGTATAAAGTTGAGTCATCAGCAAAAAGAGCTACTTTAGATGAAAGGTTGTCAGGAAGATCGTTTATGTAGATAAGAAGCAAAAGAGGGCCCAGGATGGAACCTTGGGGAACCCCAGAAGTTACTGGAAATAAAGAAGAGGGTTGGCCTTCAAGGATGACTTTTATAAACCGGTTAGAAAGAAATGATTTGATAATCTCAAAAACTTTCCCAGAAACACCATATGAAGCAAGCTTATGGAGAAGACCAGCATGCCAAACTTTGTCGAAAGCTTTAGATATGTCGAGAGCAACCGCCCTAGCCTCACCGCCTCCATCTAATGCACGATAAAATCGTTCAGTTACAGCAGTTAGCAAGTCGGCCGTAGAGCGAGAGGATCGAAAACCTTATTGATTGTCTGACAGTAGTTTATTTGACTCAAGATGAGATGTGAGGAATTTGTTGATCAAAGACTCAAAGACCTTGCTAATAACAGAAAGAAGACTGATTGGGCGATAATTGGAGGGGTCAGAATATTCTCCAGAGTTTTTAAATATTGGAACCACAGATGCCATTTTCCAACAAGCAGGAAAACAAGACTCAGTCAAACACTTGTTAAATAGTTTAGAGAGAATTGAAGAAAGTTCTGGAGAACAATTATGCAAGACTGTGACAGGAATGTTGTCTGGACCACAAGCTGTAGACGAGTCTAATTGAGATATGACTTTAGCAACAGAAGCTGGAGTGGTTTGAATGTCTAACAATGGGTCAACCTGTTTGACTGGAATGGAAGGAAGAGAATGTCCATAAGATTCAAGAGTGGAATTAGAAGAAAAGTTCTTTGCAAATAGTTCTGCCTTATCTATGGGAGAGGTAATAAGATCAGTCCCATGAATGAGAGATGGAATGTTAGATCTACCCTTGTTAATAATGCTGTTGAAGATTTTCCAAAAGTCTTTAGAGCCTAACTTCTGCGATAAGATGCGAGATTTAGTGAACTGAGAATAATGGAGTTTAGCATCAGAAAGCACCTTTTTACATCGATTTCTTGCAATAATAAATAGCCGTTTGTTCTCAAGAGAGTTGTTCTTTTGAAAAAGATGAAAAAAATGATTACAATTGGATATAGCAGCCGCACAAGAAGAAGAAAACCATGGAGTAGAATGAGGGTTGACTTGAAACCGACGAGAAGGAATAAAAGCTTCCGTTCCAGTCTGAATCCAGGAGGTTACATAGGAGGCGCATTTGTCAGCTAAAAGAGAAAAAACATCAGCCCAAGGACCATCACGAAGAAAATCACGAAAGGAATCCCAGTCAGCTTTAGGGTAGTAGTAGGTGGTGCGATGATAAGGTGAGCCCAAAAAAGATGTACGAGAAAAAAGATTTATAGAGATCATTGCATGGTCAGAACCACCTAAGGGAGAAAAGGGAGAAACTGAACATAAGCTAGGGTCAGAGACAAGACATAAGTCAAGGAGTGAAGGTAAATGATAATGGTTGTCAGGAAAACGAGTCACAAAGTTAACTATCAGAGTAAGAGATTAAGAAATGCAGAAGTTAAAGGCTTTAGTGCCAGCAGGATCAGTGGTGTTAGAACCAAGCCATTCAGTGTGATGGGCATTAAAATCACCAACAACAACTATATTGGCAGAGGGGCAAAGAGAGAGGGCATGGTCAGTTAACTTGGTTTACATCTGTTGTTGTTGATACCCTGACCTTAACCCTGACTTTTGTTGTTGTTGATACCCTGACCCTAACCCTGACCTCTGTTGTTGTTGATAAAGTTGCTGTTTATTATCAAAGTTAAGCTCATGCTATTTGTTACTTAGGTTATTTATTACTTTGTATTCTTTTAATAAATTCATTAGTTTATAAGAGACTTTGACTCTGCATATAACTGATAAAACAATTTATGTCAAGCACTTCTGACATGGTAATAAACACTAACATTTTGTGGCCTATAAAGTTAACATGATATTGTTTTTATGATGCAAGGAAGCATGATTTGATTTAGTCATTTGTCCATATATGACTAAATTCTTTTACATAGATAAATTTACTTAGATCTTTTTAATTAAATAATTGATAAAAATTTAAATTGGAGATAAATAAAATACACTAATTGTTAAATTGATAAAAATATTAAACAGCTTAATAAATACACTTATCAAGTTAAAAATTAATGAATTTTAACTTCCTTGTTACCAATTCCCTAGTTCACAGTTTTTTTTCTTTATAATTCATTTTTTACTTTATTTTTTTGTTTTACCAATAATAGCTAACTTTATTTTATAAAAAAGATTCTTGATCGGTGTTAAATATTAAACCAACCCTCAAGCTTATTAAGACCCCTCCGTTTATAAATTTTGACTGAGCAAAAACAGTGAAAATTGGCATTATAAATTAGAAAATAATTATTTCAGTCACATAAAAAGTTTTTCAGTATAAGTTTAAAAATTGACCAGATTCTCGAATCTCGATTTATCAAAAGTT